TGCACGGTTTTATAGACTTTTGGGCATAGTTTCAAATTGTTCTCCAGAATGGTTGGACTAGTTCACAACTCTACCAACAGTGCATTAGGTGTCCCACTTTTTCCATATCCCCTCCAGCATTCATCATTTTCCTTTTCTGTCATGTTAGCCAATCTGATAAGTGTGAGGTGGTATCTCAGAGTTGTTTTAATTTTCATTTCTCTAATCAGTCGTGATTTAGTGTTTTTTTTTATGCCACTATTGATAGCTTTGATTTCTTCTGAAAATTGCCTGCTTATATCCTTTGACCATTTATTAGCTAGGGAATGACTTTTATTTTATAAATTTGGTTCGGTTCCCTATATGTTTGAGAAATGAGGCCTTTGTCAGAGAAACTTGTTACAAAATTTCCCTGCAGTTTCCTGTTTTCCTTCTCACTTTGGCTACATTCATTTTGTTTGCACAAAAGATTTTTAATTTCATGTTATCGAAATTATCTATTTTACTTCCTATAATCCTCCATCTCTTGTTTGGTCATAAACTTTACCCTTATCCACAGGTCTGACTGGTATATTTTTCTGTACTCCCCTAATTTACTTATGTTCTCACCCTTTATGTCTAAATCATTTGTCCATTTTGACCTTATCTTTCTGCCAAACTGCTTTCCAGTTGTCCCAGCAAATTTTGTCAAATGTTAAGTTCTTACCCCAAAACTTTTTACCCCAAAACTTGGATCTTTGGGTTTATCAAACACTAGATAATGTGGTCATTTACTACTGTATCTTATGTATTTACTCTGTTCCACTGATCCACCACTATATTTCTTAGCCCAGTACCAGATTATTTTGATGATTACTGCTTTGTAATGTAGTTTGAAATCTAGAACTTGTAGGCTGCCTTCCTTCACATTTTTTCATTGATTCCCTTGATATTCTTGACCTTTTGTTTGTCCAAATTAATTTTATTACTATTTTTTCCTAACTCTATAAAGTAACTCTTTGGTAGTTTGATTGGTATGGCAATGAATGAGTAAATTACCTGCTTTGTAAATTTTAGAGCTAGATAGAACTAGTGCAGGGGAATGAGTCCCAGATTTGGAGTCAGAGGACTTGGGTTTGAATCCCAGCTTTGTTACTTGTGCAACCTTGGGCATATTACTTAACCACTCTACTGTCCTATGTATCCATGTACTTTGCCCTTGTCATACTTTACCTGTGGTCTAGGCACCACCATTTACACAGGACACTGAAAATAGGAGGATCGTCCAGAGCTTGAGTCCATACCATATAAGAATCACCTGAAGGAAATGGGCATGTTGGGTTTGGAGAAAAGAAGGCTGATAGCTATGTCGAAATAACTAAAGGACTGTCACCTGGAAGGGGGATTAAACTTGTCTGGCTTGGCCCCAAACAGCAGAATCAGGAGCAAAGGGGAAGCATGTTTAGACTTGATGGATGCTGGGAAAAACCTCCCAATAATTAGAGCTTATCCAACAGTGGAATGGGCTGCTTCAGGAGATGGTGGGTTCCCCCTCCTTGAAGGCGTCCGAGTGGAGCCTGGAGAGTTATACTGGGAATGTCCTTGTGAATGGGTTGGGCTATATGGACAATGAGGCCCCTCTAACTCTCAAATTCTGTGATTCTTTCAGCCTATAATCTGAAATGGGAGTTGTTTTTATAGATGGTCCATAACTGAGTAGCAAAAGTTTTACTACCAAAGGTCTTTCTTTTTTTTTTTTTAAAGTGATAACTTAATAATGGTCAAATAAAAACCTATGAAACAAGGGGCAAAATCTTGCTGGGAACCCCTGAGCCTTTAACATGTGCTCATTTATTTACATGTTGTTTCCCCCATTAGAATGTAAGATCCTTGAGGGCAACAACTGGGTTGCTTTTTTTTTTCCTTTCTTTGTATCCTCAGTGCTTAGCACATTATTATTGAGGAATTTGGGCATCTTTTCCTGTGGTCAGTAGGTGTAGTTCCTCCTTGGCAAGCTGTTTGCTTCCTTTCAATTTCTATGTGTGTATGTGTGTGTGTGTGTGTGTATAAAATCTATATATTATATATACACACACATATATATACATACATATACACACGTGCATATGTGTGGGTGTGTATGAGCCAGTTAGCTTATTATAGTACATAGTGTGATGGGGATCCAATCTCTTTTTTCTACCATCCATTTTCTCCAGATTTTGTTTTTTTCCAGTCCCCAGTGTTTTTTCAATGTGAGTCTATCAAACAGTCATCTTTTATATTAATTGGGTTCTATTTCTGGGTTCTCTATTCTGTTCCATTGATCTATTTCTCTATTCTTTTCCCAGTACTAGACAGTTTTGATAATGATTGCTTTATAGTACACTTTGCTATCTGGTGGTGCTAGTTTCTCTCTACTGATTTCCTTTTTCATAGCTCTTGACATTCTTGCCTGATTATTTTTCCATATTCATTTTGTTTTCACTTTATCTAATTCTGTGAAATAACACATTGGTTTTTGATGAGGACTGCATTAATTCTGCAAGTTAAGAATGGGAAGTTTGACCATTTTCATTGTATTTGCAGAGGGGACACCATTCCATTTATTCAGCTCTTCTTTAGTTTGTCAAAAAACATTTTGAAATTGTCTTTGGGTATGTCTCACATATCTTGACTATTTAACACCCAAATACTGGAAACGTTTGTCGTTGTCATAAAGGGTATTTCTCTATAATTTTGTCTTGATCCTTCATAGTGGTATCTAGAAATGCAGATGAATTGACTTTATCCTGTTACTTTACTCAAGGCATTTATTAATGCCATTTTTTGTTGATTGTTTGGGGTTTTCTAGGTATACAACTATGTAGTTTGCCAATAGAGATACTTTTTTCATTGGTTTTCATTTCTTTTTCATGATTTATTGCTAAGATTTCTTAAAGTAGGAAAAATAGGAAGGGCAAAAGTATAAATCCCTGTGTAAATTTGTTCAGTGGGAAATACATCCATATATACCTCATAGATTCAAATGCATACCATTTCCATAATATCATGGAAAGATGCTTCTGTTCCTATGTTTTAAAAATGTTTAGCTTGAGTGCCATATTTTGATATATCATGAAGTTATTTTCTCTTGATGCAATTTATTATGGATTGTTTTCCTCGCGTTGAACCACCATCTACATCTTAGTCATGACAGATCTTTTTATTCTATTTGGGAATATTGATTTAGTATTTAGGTCCTTATTATATTTTAAATCTAAAAACTTAAAAGAAACAAACCCTGATTTCACATCCCCATCTTTGAGAGTAGAAGGCAGAATGGTACAGTAGAAAGAGCACAGGATGGTTTGAAGTCAGAGGACCTGGGTTCAAATCCTACCTGTCACTTGTTAGCTGTGGGACCATAGGCAAGTCATTTAAGCTCTCTGTGCCTCAGTTTTCTTCATCTTTAAAATGAGAGAGTTGGAATGGTCTCTAGGTTCCATCTAAATCCATGATGACCCTATGGATATAGTCCAATTAGGGCTGGGACTTCTAATTGGTCCCTCCAGCTCAGAGAAGTCTCCATGTTGTTGAACTTCCAAGTCAATGCAGCTTTTCAGGGCTATTCCCAACCATTAATATTGGAATAGATTTATGTTTCAAATGGATTTACCCAGTAGCCTTAGCCATTGGCTCTCTCCCTTGGTTAAACACACACACACACACACACACACACACACACACACACACACACACA